TTTCTATAGAAAATCTGCAATTCAGCCTGGCTGAATAATATTTTCTATAGAAAATCTGCAATTCAGCCTGGCTGAATAAGATTTTCTATAGAAAATCTGCAATTCAGCCTGGCTGAATAAGATTTTCTTATTCAGCCTGGCTGAGAAAATCTGCAATTCAGCCTGGCTGAATAAGATTTTCTATAGAAAATCTGCAATTCAGCCTGGCTGAATAAGATTTTCTATAGAAAATCTGCAATTCAGCCTGGCTGAATAAGATTTTCTATAGAAAATCCTTAGAGGCTGTGGGCCTTACGATTTTCTATAGAAAATCCTTAGAGGCTGTGGGCCTTAAGATTTTCTATAGAAAATCCTTAGAGGCTGTGGGCCGTAAGATTTTCTATAGAAAATCCGCAATTCAGCCTGGCTGAATAAGATTTTCTATAGAATTCAATTTTTTTCGAAATCAAACAAAAACATGCACAAGTGTCCATTATATACATAAAAAATTAAAAAATAAAAACTTATTATACACACAATATATATATAAAATCCGCAAATCAGCCTGGCTGAATAAGATTTTCTATAGAAAATCTGCAATTCTGCCTGGCTGAATAAGAGCTTCTATAGAAAATCTGCAATTCAGCCTGGCTGAATAAGAGCTTCTATAGAAAATCTGCAATGCAGCCTTGCTGAATAAGAGTTTCTATAGAAAATCTGCAATTCAGCCTGGCTGAATAAGAGTTTCTATCAAAAGCGTGAAATTTTAAAAGAATATTATTTCAAAGGATTATCACAGGATGAAGCGTGGATTTTTCAAAGAATATTTTTTCAAAGGACTATCACAGGATGAAGCGTGAATTTTTAAAAGAGTATTTTTTCAAAAGACTATCAAAGGATGAAGCGTAGATTATTAAAAGGATATTTTTTCAAATGTCTATCAGAGGATGAAGCGTGGATTATTAAAATAATATTTTTTCAAAGGACTATCACAGGATGAAGCGTGGATTTTTAAAAGAATATTTTTTCAAAGGACTATCACAGGATGAAGCGTGGATTTTTAAAAGAATATTTTTTCAAAGGACTATCACTGGCATAGGCGTGGATTTTTTTAAATATTTTTTTCAAAGGACTATCACAGACATAGGCGTGGATTTTTTAAATAATTTTTTCAAAGGACTATCACAGACATAGGCGTGGTTTTTTTTAAATATTTTTTTCAAAGGACTATCACAGGATGAAGCGTGGATTTTTAAAAGAATATTTTTTCAAAGGACTATCACAGGATGAAGCGTGGATTTTTAAAAGAATATTTTTTCAAAGGACTATCACAGGATGAAGCGTGGATTTTTAAAAGAATATTTTTTCAAAGGACTATCACAGGATGAAGCGTGGATTTTTAAAAGAATATTTTTTCAAAGGACTATCACAGGATGAAGCGTGGATTTTTAAAAGAATATTTTTTCAAAGGACTATCACAGGATGAAGCGTGGATTTTTAAAAGAATATTTTTTCAAAGGACTATCACAGGATGAAGCGTATAGAAAATCTTATTCAGCCAGGCTGAATTGTAGATTTTCTATAGTAACTCTCAATTTAGCCAGGCTGAATTGTAGATTTTCTATAGAAACTCTCAATTCAAGGCTGAATTGCAGATTTTCTTATTCAGATGAATATATGATTCCTGTACATCGTTATTAAATCAATCAAATATATTTTGTGTAAATAAGTTTTTATTTTTTAAGTTTTTTTATGTATATAGTGGACACTTGTGCATGTTTTTGTTTGAAGTCGAAAAATCATTCCCATTTTTGTTTAAAAACATTTCCTTGAATTCATCATAGAATTTATCCTTTTCGGCTAAAGCTTTCCCCTTGGAAATTTCATCTAACAATTCCATCATTTGTGGATGTTGAGCGGCAACTTCTGCTGGCAGAGACTCCAAAAGTTTATCAGTGACTTTTTGAAATCTTTCCATAAGTCGCATATAAACTCTATCAAGAACCGTCATCGGTCGTCCTTCCATATAGAATTGCTCGGACAATGTGCCCGTTGGCAATTTTTGGCTATCCGGAGTATATTTCTCACGTAACTTTTCCAATTTCCCTTGATTAATGCTAAAGAGCCGCAACAAATCGTGTTTCTCACAATAGGTGGAATTTTTACTTAGCAATACCGGACCAACCATTTCTATATAGTTGTTCATAAGAGGGTTTGCGACCTCCTTTAGTATAGGTGTCATATAAAACCATTTATAAAGTGAATACATGGCAACGCTTTGACGTAGAGCTTCATCATCGGCATTCCTAAATAGTTGTTCCACATCAGCGAGGAATTTCGTTATGCGTATATCTTCCACGGGAGGATCGGTGGTGGCTATTATTGGTGTTATGAAATGCTAAAGGAAAAAAAAAACTAATAATACTCAGATAGATGGTTCCGAACTTTATTTGCACTTACATGCCACACCATTAAAATGCACCATATGCAATGCATTTTCACTTTCCCTTTGCCACAGGCAGCAGATCCACTTGACATTGCTGCCTTTTTTGAATTTTCTTAACTTATTTGGGATTGTGTGTTATGTTTTGTATGTTTTCGATGGTCTAGGCCTGGCGTCCGCAACTATTCTGTTCATCGACTTTCTTCTTTAAAGGCAGTATTTGCTTAATGATCCACCGCAGCTCAATGTCAACTAAGAGCACATTCGCCTTTTATACAGCATTTGTTGTGGCTATTCGGTCAGCGAAAATTTGGTTTAGATGAAGATGGAATAGATCAAGTTTACAATAAAAACCAACCAGAAACTAGATACCAAAAAAAACGGAAAAACCCGGAGCATCAGGTTTTTGTCAATGTGGTTCTGTTTTCTTTTCTTGATATGACCACTTGACAATAGAATAGATCAATGAAGTGTTGAAGGTAATAGAAATACGCTATAATGTCTTCAACTGAAATCCGCTTCTGATAGTCCTTTGAAAAATATTCTTTTGAAAATCCACGCTTCATCCTCTGATAGTCCTTTGAAAAATATTCTTTTGGAAATCCACGCTTCATTCTCTGATGGTCCTTTGAAAAATATTCTTTTGAAAATCCACGCTTCATCCTCTGATAGTCCTTTGAAAAATATTATTTTGGAAATCCACGCTTCATTCTCTGATGGTCCTTTGAAAAATATTCTTTTGAAAATCCACGCTTCATCCTCTGATAGTCCTTTGAAAAAATATTCTTTTAAAAATCCACGCTTCATCCTGTGAAAGTCCTATGAAAAAATATTCTTTTAAAAATCCACACTTCATTCTCTGATAGTCCTTTGAAAAATATCCAAGCTTCATCCTGTGATAGTCCTTTGAAAAAATATTCTTTTAAAAATCCACGCTTCATTCTCTGATAGTCCTTTGAAAAATATCCACGCTTCATCCTGTGATAGTCCTTTGAAAAAATATTCTTTTAAAAATCCACGCTTCATCCTGTGATAGTCCTTTGAAAAAATATTCTTTTAAAAATCCACGCTTCATCCTGTGATAGTCCTTTGAAAAAATATTCTTTTAAAAATCCACGCTTCATCCTGTGATAGTCCTTTGAAAAAATATTCTTTTAAAAATCCACGCTTCATCCACTGATAGTCCTTTGAAAAATATTCTTTTAAAAATCCACGCTTCATCCACTAATAGTCCTTTGAAAAAATATTATTTCAAAAGTCCACGCTTCATCCTGTAATAGTCGTTTGAAAAAATATTCTTTTAAAAATCCACGCTTCATCCTGTGATAGTCCTTTGAAAAAATATTCTTTTAAAAATCCACGCTTCATCCTGTGATAGTCCTTTGAAAAAATATTCTTTTAAAAATCCACGCTTCATCCTGTGATAGTCCTTTGAAAAAATATTCTTTTAAAAATGCACGCTTCATCCTGCGATAGTCCTTTGAAAAAATATTCTTTTAAAAATGCACGCTTCATCCTGTGATAGTCCTTTGAAAAAATATTCTTTTAAAAATCCACGCTTCATCCACTGATAGTCCTTTGAAAATATTCTTTTAAAAATCCACGCTTCATCCACTAATAGTCCTTTGAAAAAATATTATTTCAACAGTCCACGCTTCATCCTGTGATAGTCCTTTGAAAATATATTCTTTTAAAAATCCACGCTTCATCCTGTGATATTCCTTTGAAAAAATATTCTTTTAAAAATCCACGCCTTTGGGATTTTTAAAAGAATATTGTTTCAAGGACCACCAAAGGCGTGGATTTTTAAAAGAATATTTTTTCAAAGGACTATCACAGGATGAAGCGTGGATTTTTAAAAGAATATATTTTCTTTTAAAAATCAACGCCTTTGGTGGTCCTTGAAAAAATATTCTTTTAAAAATCCACGCCTTTGGTGGTCCTTGAAAAAATATTCTTTTAAAAATCCACGCCTTTGGTGGTCCTTGAAAAAATATTCTTTTAAAAATCCACGCCTTTGGTGGTCCTTGAAAAAATATTCTTTTAAAAATCCACGCCTTTGGTGGTCCTTGAAAAAATACTCTTTTAAAAATCCACGCCTTTGGTGGTCCTTGAAAATATATTCTTTTAAAAATCAACGCCTTTGGTGGTCCTTGCAAAAATTTTCTTTAAAAATTCCACGCCTTTGGTGGTCCTCGATAAAATTCTTTTAAATTCCACGATAGTCTTTTAAAAACCCACGCTTTTGGATCTGTTCTTTGTTCCATATACCTGAAAATATTTTTTTATAAAACACCGTGCTTGCGTTGTATCGGTCAAACATTAGATAAGACAAATTTCACAATTACAGCAGTTATGAAGTTATAAAATGGGTATAAAAAATCTGATATTCAGTTTCTTATCTACCGCACACATTGGGGGGCCAAAACATTTTGCAAACATTTAATAAAAATGTTTATAAGAAATCTCCAATAAAAAATATTTTTATTTGAACAGTAGCAAAACAGTAGCCGATTGACGAAGTGAAGAGGCGTTCAACTTTTAATTGTTTCGAAATTTGAAGAAGAAAAAAGTAATTATGTTTTTCTATTTGACATTAGCACTGCTAATATTTCTGTATATATTCATAAAACGTCACTACAATCAATGGCAACGTCAGGGTATAGCAGCCGCAGAGTCTGTTATACCCTTTAGCTCCCTCAAAGCGGTATTTCGGAAAGAAAAAACTATGGGCTTGGCCATAACCGATATTTATGTGAGATTTTCGGAAAGTGTTGTCGGCATCATGCTGGCCTTTAAGCCAGCCATTCTCATAAGGGATGCTGAAATGGCCCGCCAAATATTAACCAAGGATTTTGATTACTTTCATGATCGTGGAGTTTATGTGAATGAGAAAAGAGATCCGCTGTCGGCAAATTTATTTAGCCTTAAAGGACATTCATGGCGTAGCATGAGAGCGAAATTATCTCCCTCATTTTCAAGTGGGAAATTAAAGGCCATGTTCGGAACAGTCGATGAAGTTGGTAATCAAATGGTGGAATATATTTTGGAGCAGTTTGAAGGTGATCAACGAAAAGTGCTGGTGGATATTAAGGATATTACAACAACGTAAGAGATTTCGAAACCAAAAACAAAACCAACTGATTTACTTTATTTTATTTTTGTTTTGCAGCTATGCCATTGACATCATCGGTTCGGTAATCTTTGGTTTGGATATCAACAGTTTTGAAAATCCTCACAATGAATTTCGGCAGATAAGTGATCGAATTTTTAAAACCAATCAAACTCACATTTTGCATCGCATTCGAGCCATCATGAGCTTTATGTGTCCACCGTAAGTAGAGCCATAATTTTTAATGTTTTTTAAGGACCACCAAGTCGTGGATTTTTTAAAAAAAATATTTCCTCAAGGATGACAAAAGGCGTGGATTTTTATAAAGAATATTTTATCAAGGCCTTAAATAAGGCGTGGATTTTTTAAAGAATATTTTTTTAAGGACCTCAAGCAGGCGAGGATTTTTTAAAGAATATTTTTTAAGGACCTCAAGCAGGCGAGGATTTTTTAAAGAATATTTTTTCAAGGGCCACCAAAGGCGTTAATTTTTTAAAGAATATTTTTTCAAGGACCACCAAGGGCGAGGATTTTTTAAAGAATATTTTTGCAAGGACCACCAAGGGCGTGGATTTTTTAAAGAATATTTTTTCAAGGGCCACCAAAGGCGTGGATTTTTATAAAGAATATTTTTTCAAGGGCCACCAAAGGCGTAAATTTTTATAAAGAATATTTTGTCAAGGCCCACCAAAGGCGTGGATTTTTATAAAGAATATTTTTTCAAGGGCCACCAAAGGCGTGGATTTTTTAAAGAATATTTTTGCAAGGACCACCAAGGGCGTGGATTTTTTAAAGAATATTTTTTCAAGGGCCACCAAAGGCGTTAATTTTTTAAAGAATATTTTTTCAAGGACCACCAAAGGCGTGGATTTTTATAAAGAATATTTTTTCAAGGGCCACCAATGGCGTGGATTTTTTAAAGAATATTTTTGCAAGGACCACCAAGGGCGTGGATTTTTTAAAGAATATTTTTGCAAGGACCACCAAGGGCGTGGATTTTTATAAAGAATATTTTTTCAAGGGCCACCAAAGGCGTGGATTTTTATAAAGAATATTTTTTCAAGGGCCACAAAAGGCGAGGATTTTTTAAAGAATATTTTTGCAAGGACCACCAAGGGCGAGGATTTTTTAAAGAATATTTTTTCATGGGCCACCAAAGGCGTGGATTTTTATAAAGAATATTTTTTCAAGGGCCACCAAAGGCGTGGATTTTTATAAAGAATATTTTTTCAAGGGCCACCAAAGGCGTGGATTTTTATAAAGAATATTTTTTCAAGGGCCACCAAAGGCGTGGATTTTTATAAATAATATTTTTTCAAGGGCCACCAAAGGCGTGGATTTTTATAAAGAATATTTTTCAGGGGTCCAACAAAGGCGTGGATTTTTATAAAGAATATTTTTTCAAGGGCCACCAAAGGCGTGGATTTTTATAAAGAATATTTTTTCAAGGGCCACCAAAGGCGTGGATTTTTATAAAGAATATTTTTTCAAGGGCCACCAAAGGTGTGGATTTTTATAAATAATATTTTTTCAAGGGCCACCAAAGGCGTGGATTTTTATAAAGAATATTTTTTCAGGGGTCCAACAAAGGCGTGGATTTTTATAAAGAATATTTTTTCAAGGGCCACCAAAGGCGTGGATTTTTATAAATAATATTTTTTCAAGGGCCACCAAAGGCGTGGATTTTTATAAAGAATTTTTTTTCAAGGGCCACCAAAGGCGTGGATTTTTATAAATAATATTTTTTCAAGGGCCACCAAAGGCGTGGATTTTTATAAATAATATTTTTTCAAGGGCCACCAAAGGCGTGGATTTTTATAAATAATATTTTTTCAAGGGCCACCAAAGGCGTGGATTTTTATAAAGAATATTTTTTCAAGGGCCACCAAAGGCGTGGATTTTTATAAATAATATTTTTTCAAGGGCCACCAAAGGCGTGGATTTTTATAAATAATATTTTTTCAAGGGCCACCAAAGGCGTGGATTTTTATAAAGAATATTTTTTCAGGGGTCCAACAAAGGCGTGGATTTTTATAAAGAATATTTTTTCAAGGGCCACCAAAGGCGTGGATTTTTATAAAGAATATTTTTTCAAGGACCACCAAGGGCGTGGATTTTTTAAAGAATATTTTTTCAAGGACCACCAAGGGCGAGGATTTTTTAAAGAATATTTTTTCAGGGGTCCAACAAAGGCGTGGATTTTTTAAAGAATATTTTTTCAAGGTCCAACAAAGGCGTGGATTTTTTAAAGAATATTTTTTCAAGGGCCACCAAAGGCGTGTATTTTTATAAAGAATATTTTTTCAAGGGCCACCAAAGGCGTGTATTTTTATAAAGAATATTTTTTCAAGGGCCACCAAAGGCGTGTATTTTTATAAAGAATATCTTTTCAAGGACTATCAGAAGAATTTTATTTCAAGGTCCATCAACACTGATTGTATAGTTTATATTTATTTTAAATTTATTTATTTTTTTTCATTATTTTTTTTAAGTATTGCACAATTTTTGGCCCTATTTGGTACACTGGATCCCATTACAGCTGACTTGAGGGAAATTGTCAGACGTACCATAGAATATCGTGAAAAACACGGTGTCGCTCGTAAAGATATCCTTCAACTCTTATTACAACTAAGAAATTCCGGCGAAGTTAAGGAGGAAGACGATACGACCTCCTGGCAGGTCGATGCTGTAGCTGAAAATCAAAAAACCATGTCAATTGATACAATTACTGCAAATCTATTTCTCTTCTATATTGCCGGTTCTGAAACAACATCCTCGACCATTGCCTACACCCTCTACGAATTGGCTATGTATCCAGAAATATTACAACGTGTCCAAGCCGAAGTTCTCCGGTGTCTGGAAAGAAATAATCTCAAGCCATGGGATAATTTGTCCTATGATATTTTACAGGAGATGCCATATTTGGATCTGTGTATAATGGGTAAGTTGGAGCTATGAATCCAAAATAAAAACAAAGAAAATATTTATTTTTTTTCTTCTAGAAACCACTCGCAAATATCCCGGCTTACCCGTTTGGAATCGTGAATGCACGAACGACTATCGTTTAAGCCGTAATGATTTTGTCATAAAGAAGGGCACAGCCATAATAATACCCATTATGGGTATTGGTCGAGATGAAAAATATTTTCCCCAACCCATGGATTACAAACCGGAACGTTATGCCGAGGAGAAGGATCGAAATAATATGACTGCTTTCATGCCATTTGGTGATGGTCCAAGATATTGTATCGGTAGGTTCAAAATTGGTATGGTCTAAATAATTCATACTATGTGCGCGTCTTCTCTTTTCAGCTAAGCGAATGGGCATTATAAATGTGAAAGCTGCTTTGGTAAAAATCTTAGCAAATTTCAATATTGAAACACAGCCACGTAAGGAGATTGAATTTAAATTTCACTCTACGCCCGTGTTAATGCCTAAGGAAGGTTTGAAAATAACACTTGTGAAAAAGTACTAATAAAAATATTTAAATCAATTTTTTTATGAAAAAGCTATATTCAAGGATTAGCGGAATTATTTTTAAAGGACCACCAAAGGTGTGGATTTTTTAAAGAATATTTTTTCAAGGACCACAAACAGGCGTGGATTTTTTAAAGAATATTTTTCAAGGACCACAAATAGGCGTGGATTTTTTAGAGAATATTTTTCAAGGGCCACAAATAGGCGTGTCTTTTTTAAAGAATATTTTTCAAGGACCACAAACAGGCGTGGGTTTTTAAAGAATATTTTTCAAGGACCACAAATAGGCGTGGATTTTTTAAAGAATATTTTTCAAGGATCGCAAATAGGCGTGGATTTTTTAAAGAATATTTTTCAAGGATCGCAAATAGGCGTGGATTTTTTAAAGAATATTTTTCAAGGATCGCAAATAGGCGTGGATTTTTTAAAGAATATTTTTCAAGGATCGCAAATAGGCGTGGATTTTTTAAAGAATATTTTGTCAAGGATCGCAAATAGGCGTGGATTTTTTAAAGAATATTTTTCAAGGATCGCAAATAGGCGTGGATTTTTTAAAGAATATTTTTCAAGGATCGCAAATAGGCGTGGATTTTTTAAAGAATATTTTTCAAGGACCACAAATAGGCGTGGATTTTTTAAAGAATATTTTTCAAGGACCACAAATAGGCGTGGATTTTTTAAAGAATATTTTTCAAGGACCACAAATAGGCGTGGATTTTTTAAAGAATATTTTTCAAGGACCACAAATAGGCGTGGATTTTTTAAAGAATATTTTTCAAGGACCACAAATAGGCGTGGATTTTTTAAAGAATATTTTTCAAGGACCACAAATAGGCGTGGATTTTTTAAAGAATATTTTTCAAGGACCACAAATAGGCGTGGATTTTTTAAAGAATATTTTTCAAGGACCACAAATAGGCGTGGATTTTTTAAAGAAAATAAGGGCTTGGAAAATTTCCGCGGCCTTCTAAATAATACATAATTATAAATGATATTTACAAGGCCTTCTAAGGGGTTGGGGTTTTTAAAGGATACTTTTTTCAAGAACCACAGTCTTAGATTTTTAGAGAATATTTTTTTCAAATACCACCGAAGTCTTAGCTGTTTAAAGAATAAGTTTTCAAAATAATTTGTTTAAAATGTATAATTTTAGCAATACTGAACACTTTCCAAAAAATCCCAAGCCTGTAAACATAACTTAAAATTAGTCCCCACTCCCTTTAAACAATCCCACAACATAACGCCCTTGGTTTTAATTCATTTCGCAGAGCTCATTTCAATCACGCATCTGCTATGAACGAATGTCTGATTTACATCCCCAACAAGAGCTATGATAAGCGTGAACTTATTTCCATTATCGACAAATTGGAGGGAATAATGCGAAATACCACCAACCGGCTGTTGTTAAATGAATGAATGCATCATCGGCGGCAATATCCGCATCATCATCGTTCAACTCCCAAAAAAAAAAAAAACTCGAGATGAAATTGCAGTAAAGATGGCTTAAGGTCTTTGCAATGGCTTCATATACATACATGCATTTATACATTGATATGTTTATACATATGTATGAAATTTACATGGGAATTGTGTTCTTAATTAAAATTAACCCTTTTTGATTAATTACCCTTGCCGTCCGTCGTTGTCGTCCGCCCTGACAACATGACTTTTTTGTCGTAAAGTGTTGACAATTAAGAAGACAATTATTGAAACACAACAGGGCATGATCTACAAAAATTAAAAAAAGCAAAAACAACAAAAATGTACAGAACTCACAATGCACAATTCCAATTATAGGGGTCTGCTTTCTTTGCTCATAAGCGATGATTACAAGCCGCGTTTTTTTATTATAGATCTCTTTTTATTCGCCATTAAATGAATATTAAGCGAATATTGTGAATATTGCCGTTGTTGCTGTTGCGTGAAATAATGGCCTTAAGCAGTTGACAATAAACTTTTTTTAATTATTATTATATTTTTTGTCATTTCGTTTTTTTATTTTTAACATAAAATATAGTTTTCATTCATATGTATATGAAAGTTTCAAAGTGAATGGATGGATTTCACATAAAAAATCGTAAAGTATAAAAGTCATGATTATATGCGAGAATCAAAAACCATTAATCGAAATTCTTAATTGAACATAAAAAAATATATTGAGGGCAAATGGTTATTTGTGATAAATAAAACTCCGAAATTCTTGGGATTGCATTTCTTCCCTTAGGAAACAATGTTGAAATTTATTCTATGATTTTTATATTTTAATTCAATTATTTAGAATGCGAAAAGTCGCAGGATTTAAAATATTTTTAAATTTTCGAAATTTACAAAAAAATATTAAAAAATCCAAAAAGTTCCAAAAAAAATTTGTCCACTAAGATGCGTGTAAAATGTTTTAAAAATATTTTTAAGATCTAAAGAGGCTTGTGTTTTATAAATATGCCTATGATTTGCGGAAGTCTACACCTGTATATCTTTTCCCTTTATATGCGGTATTGATTTCGATTTCGTAAAAATATTACGATTTAAAAGGTTTAGTTAAAATCGCCCATTCTTTTCTCTTGATATTGTATTAAGAAACATTAACATTTTTCACATTTTGTGACAGAAGGAGTGAACCGACTTACCCAACTGCATGACGAAAGCACCCCTTTGTCTCGAGAATAATATAGAAGCACAGTGGCAGAAAATTGCCCACTCCCTAAAAACTGCAGCAAAAGCAGCACTTGGGTACCAAAGACCACCATCAAGAAATCCGTGGTACGATCAGGAGTGTCGTAATGGTACTGATATGAAAAACCCAGCGTATAGGGCAACCCTGCGGACAGTAGTGACACGTAATGCGATGGAGAACTATCGTGAGCAAAGGAGAGAGGAGAAACGTATTTTCAGAAAAAAAAACAAGAAAAACGTGAGCAAATCAAGATACAGGAGTCACAATGAAGTCCGAAAATTCTGCCAACGGGTAAAACACCAAATCGAATGCTTTGGTGCAGGCACATCCTCCTGTAGAGATGAAGAAGGAAACCTGAGGATCGTGCTGAGGATCTGGAAGGAGCATTTTGAAAAACTTCTGGTATCAAATAGTAGCGGTGAAGACGGTATCCCAGAAGAAGTCAGAATAGCAATCAATCGACTGATGAATAATAAAGCAGCAGGAGCCGATGGGTTACAAGCCTAGTCTACTAGTCAAGACTGGTGGTCAGATGCTGGTAAGGAGCATGCACCAGCTGATTAGTACAATTTGGCTAGAAAATGCATGCCCAATGATTGGAACCTCAGCATCCTGTGTCCAGTGCACAAAAAAGAAGACAAGATGATATGTGCCAACTATAGAAGAATAAGTCTCCTACCCATCGCATATAAAGTGCTATCCAGCGTACTGTGTGAACGACTGAAGCCAATGGTCAATGACATTATTGGATCATACCAATGCGGCTTCAGACCTGACAAATCCACCATTGACCAGATTTTCATTCTGCGCCAAATCCTGGAAAAACGCACGTAAAACACATCGACACGTTCCACCTATTCGTCCACTATAAAGCCGCATTCGACAGCCCTATCCGTTCAGAGGTGTATAAAGCCATGTCTGCGTTTGGCATTCCTGCAAAATTAATTCGGATATGCAGGATAACTTTAACTGGCACAAGATCAGCAGATAAAGTGGGAAAGGACCTCTCGGAGCCGAGTGACCTTTTTAACATCCTGCTGGAAAAGGTCATATGAGAGGCAAAAGTGAACAGAAATGGTATCCTGTACACCAAACAACACATATTACTCGCCTACACCGATGACATCGACATAATGGGTCGAACATTGAGAGCGGTAACAACCAACTTTGAACAAATTGAGAAGGAGTCTGCCAAAGTCGGTCTGGCAGTAAAGACCGACTTTGGCAGAAAAATGGATGAAGAAGCAGCTGATGGTTCACGCAGAAGGGGAAGGCCACGAACACGATTGAAAAATCAAGTCGAAGGCAACATTGCCGAAAATAGTCTTTCAAATTGGAAAAACTGCGCAAAAGACCGATGCGCCTGGAAATATTTTTTAAGCTGACGTCGGTTTTGTCTCACAGTAATATTGAAGGTAGTTATCATATTTAGCAACAGGAGTTTTTTTTTAGGTATTTGAGCTTAAATACAATATGTGCCGACATTGGGAACATTTACCCCATATAAATTTTTCTTCAATACTTATTATGGTATTAAAAAATATATTGTATTTCCGACCCACAGTGTGGTGTTCGTATTCATTTCTGTGTATTTATTAGTATTTATGTGTACAAATAATATTAAATTTAGTGACAAAACCTCCACACGAATATTGGCAACACTGCTGTGGACGAATTGTAGTTGCAGGTTCTTATTTGTCTCATTACTCTATTGAATCAAAAAATCAACTTTCCCATCCCTGCCTAACATACATGTAAGTAATATAAAAAAAATCTTACCTTGAAGATAAGCTCATGTCCCATTTCCTTAGTTTTCTCAGCTCAAGAGAGAGGAATAGAGATCAAACGACGACGTCGGCGGCTGCGACGACAACGATTGTTCAGATGACCGAGGATGGTACGAAAAACGTAAACAAACGAAACGAAAACACGAACAAATGGTAGAAAATTAAAACACATAGAGCTCAATTTTATTTAACACACCATTTTATATTGGCAAATAATTATATTTTCAATGATTTGACAAAATCAAATTCATTTAAAACACTCCAATCAAAACACTTTTCACTTTACTATGCCAATAACTGATTAACAAGGAAGAGGAGGAATTCAAAAAATGATAATGCCATGGGGGGCAAGAAAACAAAAGCACACAAAAGAAAAACACAGAAAACAGATGGACAACTTGCAAATAAACAACTACGCACAAAACTAAAAAACCAATGAAATGTTAGCAGTTTTAATAACAATATTCGAATCACTGACTTCGTTTAAATTAAATAGAATAAATTTACAAATTATGGATCATTAAGTTATTACCGAAT